ACCCATGCTGAAAGACACTTGTTTTGGAAGTTACAACATCTCCATGAGCGTCAGTGATCCCTGATGTAGAGGCCCATAAGTGTTTTCTGTCCCTCTAACATGTTTAACATTATAACTACCAGTAATTAGAGAGACTTATGTGTAACTCCTTCTTTAATCTCTTTCATTCACAAAATAATTTCTTCAAATTTTTGTTATTTAGAATTATTGTCTTATCTTCATGAAAATACACTATGAAAAATTTCACGCCAGCCCTTCAAAGCACAGTAATCACAAATGCCTACAATTTTGTATCAATCTACATTGGACCCAGAACATTTGTGGCAAGATTGAAACAAGTCATATCAGGGAAGATGACACCATAAAGCCTGGGACATCTTCAAAACTGCTCCCATTTCTCCATGTTAGAAGCTCCAGAGCCACTTAGAAGTGAATACTATATTTGCCTCTCGCTCACTATCTCGTTCCATTCAATCTTGGTGTGCATACTTCTTAAATACACTAAGCAAGTGTTAAATGATTACATTTTTAGGATATTCCTTTTTCAAATCTCATGAAGAGGCTCACATCAATAAAAAAAACATAACATGGAAATATGGAAGCAAGAAGTTGATGGAATTAGCAAGTCTTGGATTACAACCTGTTATTGCCCTTACGCTTTGGTTCCATAGTATGACAGGCACTCCAAAATTTCTTGCGAAATCCTATTAAATATAACCTGATCCTTTTTATTTTTGGTGTTGTTTTCAAGGAATTCTTGAGACTTTTGGACTTTTATTCATTTCTTGGCCTAAACGATGAAGCGTACCATGAGGAAAGAAGTGGTCCCCTTCAAGGCAGATCATCTTCACCCGTAGAGATCTGCAGATTTTGGTTTGGTACGTTTTCCAAAAACCTCATCTCATGGAGGAGAAAAAAATTTTGCAAGCCCAAAATACTTCATTTGCATCGACAAAATAGTCTGTGTGTAGCCACTGAGGCCTATTCCACTATCTACATTCCTGGATAGTGGTTGGAAAAGTCGCAATCTTACGTTCCTTCTAGTAAAAATGCCATCTATTCGCGCTTGTTAATAACTTCATTAGTAGCCATCAGTAGCCTTGTATCCATGTAGCCTTGATTCTGATTTATTTCTTGATTTCTTTCATAGCCTCAGGTTTCTCGCATTCACTTTTTTATGTTGTAGTTGCATTTTTTTACGAGCATCAGTGAAAAGTTTTTGCGCTGTGGAATTCACATGGAATAATCACAGAAATAGCAGATAAAGCTGATATATTGCGACGTATCTTCAAAATGTTTGAACAGAGAGATATTGGCTTCAATAACTGATAATAGTATTCGTTCCAAGATGCGCTTTCGTGCGTTCTCATCTCTTTTTCTTATGTTAATGTCGTGGAGGAAACTTTATTATGATCTGAAATAAAGAGGTCGTTGCAAAAAAAGATGGAATTCCATCTTACACATAACGACATCTCCCACATTCTTCTTAGAAAAAAGGCCCTCTCTTAAGGTCTCCTTCAACATATGGACGATCAGCAAGCCTCCTCATCTCTAGAGAATGAAGACTGAGATAAAAGAAGTCATGGTACAGGAAGAAGGTCATCCTTCAGAGGTATATACCTTCCAGAAATTGAAAATAGCGTTGGAGCAACTGAGGCTGAGAAAAACTGTCATAACTTGATGATGGAAGAAATCATGAAAGATCTCCGGAAAATTTTCTTAAAATGAATTTAAAAAAAATAACTCCTTCAAAGGAGAATTCACGAATATCGACGCACTCAAAACTCCCGTCCGAAATACTGTCCGAAATACTGAAGTTTTCGCTCGTTTAGTGGCGCCGATGAACTTGTCAGTTCTCAACCTCAACCAACTGAACTGTATAATCCGTTAATGTTGTTTTTTTCTAATAATTCCATATATTTTGTGATGAAACCGTTGCCACGGTTTCTCCTTTTAGAGACGCGTTTTTCCACCTTGTCCGTGGAGCATAGGCTCAAAAATTTTGGAATGAAGGGCAAGCTGAGCCCTTCCTTCCAAACTTTTTTTTTTCAGAAAACCCATTCCTGCTCAAATTTGAGAGCTATCAACAGCCCGTGGAGAACTCACTTCACGAATGAGATGTTTCAAGGTTGCCACCAGACTCTCAATTCTCAGTCCCTGTTCATCGTTATATGTCGAGAAACTGGAGCGTCTCTCGTTTCTTAGAGTTTCTTAGAGCTCACATCCCGGATTTAAACCCGAAGTCGGAGCGAATCGCGCGTTTAAGCAAGATATTTACAGGATCCACAAAGCAGACGCTACCCAAGGACGCCAATCTTTCTTCCTCCCTTTCGTGAGAAACGAGCACTCGAGAGTTTAGAATGTGAAGTCGCATTTCACTGCTTTTCCATCGTAATTTTCTTCGGAATCTCATTCCGACGTTGCTTTCCCATTCGTCGTTTCTCCCATGAGGGTCGGGTCTCCTTCATTTTAGGTAATTCATCACATATAGAGAACTGGCCAAAATAAATATCACCACTTCAGTTTGATTATGAAATTATAGCTTTTTCAATTTAATCAAGAATGCCATTATTTTCAACTAAGTATTTTTTTATTATATTATACGAGGGTTGGATTTTTAATAATGGCGACAGTGTATACATTTGAAAACAGGACTTTATTGCACTAATTTATCATCTTCATGTCTGCAATCACTCGCCCTAAAGCTCGCAAGATTTCATCATTGTTGCGATAACGGTTCCCACGCAATGGTTCCTTCAACTTTGCAAGCAAATCAAAGTCACAAGGACTTGTGTCGGGTGAATAGGGAGGGTGTTCTAATGTCTCCCTGCCCCAGCGACGCAATAAATCCTTGACAGGAGCTGCAACATGACAACTTGCATTGTCGTGCAAAATGATTGGCTCATCGATCAAAAATTGAAGACGTTTGCTTCTCACTGCCGGTCTCAGATGGTGTTGCAAATAATGGGCATAGTACTGAGCATTTACTGTTGTACTCTGAGGTACGGCATGACAGAGTATCACACCTTCCCAATCATACGCCACAATCAACACGACCTTAATGTTGCTAGGCTCTTGTCGAAGCTTTTGGGGACGTGGCGATGAAGAATTCCACCACTCAGGAGACTGACGCTACAGTGCCGGTTCATAAGAACGACCCCAAGTTTCGTCCAACGCAACGATGCGATGTGTGAATGCTTCACGTTCTTGGTCATATCGCTCCAAATGCATGCGTGCAACTTCAAAGCGATGCCACTTCAGAACCTCTGTGAGATGATGGGGAACCCAACGTGCGACAACTTTGCGCATGTGCAGATGCTCCTTCAAAATCGTTGATACGGTTTTATGGGCAATACCAACTCCGCATGCAAGCTCTCGAAGGGTCCACCGTCCATCCACGTGCAAAAGAGAAGAAACAAGATCCACTTTGTCCTGCTCAACGCATGGGTGTCCCGAGCGTGGATTATCCGACACATTCTCGCGGCCTCTTCTCAAAGCATTCACCCATCTAGCAACTCTGCGATATGGCAACGCGCCCTCAACGAACATTGCTTAGAGCGGTATCACGACGAACTGTTTCAAAACTTACTACTTCTCAGTCAACTGACTCTCTTCATACAGACCAAAATTGATGCAGACGACCGTCACCTGTCACTGTCTCACAAACACTGCGCACACACTGCAGTTTCATCTCCGAGCGTTGTTCATACAGTGTTCCCACTATTAAAAATCCAACCCTCGTATACTTACTTAGAATTCAGTAAGTACTACGAGCTCGGTAAATCGCATGTCAATAATGGGAAACACACCATTGCCGAATGTACAGTTGACTAATTTCAGTAGAATCTGGGAAGTGACTCGCGACACTGAAGACTAAGGCTCCATCTCACCCCGATTTTTGTAACCTCCTCAGTCCATGAACTGCACGTACGCCCAGGCCGCCATGCGCCAGTGAGGGGACGACGAATGGGGCAACTGCGGCACGAATGCGATTCGGCCGGCTCGATAGGTCGGCGGAGACGAGTGAGCCGCGCCAATTATGGGCAGACGATAGATCCAGAACAATTTTTGACTGGGCGTATTCATGACTGATCTTGAGATGGCAAAAATTAATTCTTCTCGTGGGACTATCAACGGAAAACGTTATTCATTCGAGTGAAAGAGTTTCCAGATGAATGAAATATAAAAAGCCTTTATTTTGCGTCTAAACTTTATTAGTAATATTATTTTGGCCAATATTGAAGGTGGAAAAACTTGATTCGTCTGTCGTAGAAACGACAGGTAAAGCATTTCTACACAATGGAAAAAAATCCTATCGGTATCCAGGTCGACCTTATCGCTTCGAGCATTCCCTGCCGACGATTCGTACCGGCAGTGAGGGGAGATACAGAAATACCATTCCTCTTTCGTCGTGGCGATCCAATCCCGTCCGGAAAATAATCAGTGAAATTACAGCAATTTTCTGAAACAAGTGAAAGCGATTCCTTCAGAGGTGCTTCTCTCCGATCGTAGTCATGGCATCTCGCAACGATAAGAAGAAAACTTTCGTCATCGAGAAAGACATGGACGATCATAACGGTCTCGCGAAGGACATCTCCTCGTCCTTCGCGACCGGACCCGCCTGGTGTGACGTCATCCTTCTCATCCAAGGAACCAAATTCTACTCCTGCAAAGGGATCCTCGCCGCCGTCTCCCCCTACTTTCGACAGATGTTCTCCACCGACTTCAGAGACGCCTCTCAGAGAGAGGTGAAGCTAGAAGGATTCACGAAAATCGGATTCAAGCCCGTTTGGGATTACATACACGGAACGCGAGTGGAAGTGGAAGGGGAGGAAGGGGCATTGGCGACTTTTCGAGATGCGCATTTTCTCGGGATGAAACGTTTGTGCCAAAAAATAAGCAGGACCATAAAAACATTCCTGGATTCGGAGAACGCCTTGCGAATTCTACAAATCGCGGAAGAATACGAATACGGAGACTTGCGAGAAGCTGCCGTCCGGACCATTTCTTTCCATTTCGACGATGTCGTGAAGACGCCGGAATTCCTCGGCATCTCCTTCGAGACGTTGTCTTGCTTCTTGGATCGAGACGATCTGGGAGTTTCTTCCGAGAAGGAAGCGTACGAAGCGACACGGAAATGGTTGGATCACGATTCCAGCCGGAAATGTCATTTGCCGGATCTCCTGGACAAGATCCGTCTCCCTCTCTTGCCGTACGCGTACCTAAAATCGGTGGTACTCAAGGATCCGATCGTTTGTAGGGATCCGCTTTGTCTGAGTGCCATCACGGATGCGAGAGACTATCACCTTCCGGATCTCCGCGATTCCGTCCCGAAGGAGAAAACCAGACCAAGAGTCCCATCTGATGCGATTTAGAGCATGAACGAAACCGGGAAGATCTACCGCATGAATCCTCATAATTGGGACTTGGATGAAATCACGGACAATCCTATGAGTGTTGATTGTGCCTTTGCAGGAATGGACAGAAAACTGTATGTCACAGAGAAGGGTGAGATGAAGATGTTTGACCTCGAGAAGAGGGAATGGAAGGAAGGGCCCAAGCCCCTGGAGTATCTTCATGATTGGCTGACGACTGCAGTTTCCCCCGGATCCATCTTCATCTGCGGTGGGAGGAATCAAAACAATGCTGAACAAAAAAGTGTATTTTGTTTCTCGGTGGAAACAGGGCAATGGATACGACTCTGTGATATGAAGTATGAAAGGAGTTCGCTAGGAACGTGTTATGGGGACTCTTGCCTCCACGTCATTGGAGGAATGACAAATAGTACTAAACATGAGCGTTTGGATCTCCGTACGTCTCGATGGGAAGAACTGGCTACCCTCCCGGTAGAAAGATGGAGTCATGCCGTCTCACCTCACGAAGATCACCTTCTCTTGGCTGGGGGAAGTGGCGGAAGAGAGGTGTTCGTGTATGATAGAAGAAGTAATTCGTGGCGGGAGGGGCCAAGCATGATGGAAGAACGGGATTATCACGGACTGATATGTTGGAACCGAAATTTGTATGCTGTTGGAGGATGGGAAAATTCATCAGTGGAAGTGTTTGATGGAACAAAATGGGAAATTATCAAGAAATATAAAATCAGTGATTTCTGGAGAGCTTGCCGAATGATGAATTGAGGTATTGAGCCGATTTGATATCACGGGAAACGCAAGACATCCTATTCTTTTCATTCATTTTGTAATTAGGAATCCCTTTTTGAAATAAGGATCGAGGATTCCTTCCTCCAGTAATTTTCATTCATTTTTTAGAAAAGAAGATGATTCCTCATTTCATTCACAGGAATGAATTTCTCTTTTCCCACGGATCTTTTTCATCCGCAAACATTTGATTTCGAGGAAATGAATGATTTTGGGAATCTGGCTGAACGCGGATTTTTTTCCACCTCTAATTTCCTCTTTTCTCTTCACCTTTTTTCCCGCTTTCGCGAGTCAAAATCCTTCTGCATTCATGAATATTAATGTCATCGTTAATGAATATAATGACGATATGAAAAGCAACGTGATCATTTTTAATGCAAAAATTATTAAGAAATTGCAATGACGTAGTGCGCTCTTCCAGAGTGATCCTCGTCAAGCCATCAGAAAATAAATGAACAATTGATCCATTACTTGATGAAGATCCGGGAAATTGTAGCGAATTAATAAATAGAAAAGTTCTTGGTAAAGGGAGCACAAAAGGTTTCATGGAAAAAATGAAATTCATTTATTCCCCGCATTTTCTTCACTAAAGTCCAGGTCGTCCTCTTCTTTTTCCAGGGAATCAACAAAAATTCAAATTACTCTGCTTCTAACTTTCTCAATGAAGAATCATTTGAGAAATGTTCAAGCTCCTTTATCTTGGCTCCGTCGCGCAAAAATGCATTTTATTTTATAAATCAAATATTTAGTTCATTCATTTTTTCGCCCGATGTGGGATTCGGAGGAAAAAGACCAACCAAAAGAAAGATATTCACGAGTAGGTCACAGATGGTGCAACATTTTTTTTTTCCTTTTAAATGCATGGCATTAGTAAAAAGAGAGAAAGAAATTACGTTTCGTTCATTCCGCTTTGCGTGTAGGCTCCAGTCCCATTCCCCATGGTTGCCAGATATCGCCGTGGAGTTATGTCCAATTCAGCACTGATTCTGCTTTTATGTCTGTGTGACCACCCTTTATTTTTTATTGTCTTCTGATTAAAATATTTAATGCAATGAGAGGCCGTAAGAATGGAACAATGGTCATTCGATCAATTACAATATAGAGGTTCCGTGTTTGGACATCCTCACAGATGATGGCGTAATACTTGCAACACTCTCTTTGGGGCAATTTCTCCTACAGTCCTCGTGGATATGGCTCAGGAAAGTTATAACTAATCCCTCATTAGGCTAATGATTCTCATCATCAGTTTGACTTCCTAAAAATCCTATAGTTCAGAAGTAAAGGGAAATTTTCCTCTAAATCAAAGAATGACATTCAGTTCAAGCAAAAAAAGAGCGCATCTTAGGCAAGCTGTTCCACCCATTGTGTGGGTTATGCCTAGGCCTAACATTTGTTAGTCCAGTAGTAAAGTTAGCAGGGGAGGTTTCTCGAATGGGAAATCCGTTTTAAAAAAAAAGGATTTTCTATGCATCATATATTCCATTGCGTCAGCGTGATACATGGTATTATGTGGTTGACTTTTTTCACATATAGGCTATTACTATTCCACATACACCACATGGTAAAAACCAAAACTGGCCTTCTTCTGCCCAATCCTCTTTGCCTCTGTTGGAGTCTTTTTAGCTTCTTCATGCTTCATCCCAACATATTTTACACCACTTCACCTTAACAAGTTGACGACCAGCCTATTTTTGCTTGTCCGCCGCGTGGGACCATGCGCATTTTTTTTGTAAAAAAAAAATGCGTCCTGCCATCAGGACGCATGGTCCCAGAACACATTTTTTTTTTTTTTAAATGTTGAATTTTTTGGAATTTTTATTAGTAATTACGAAATCACAATCTTCTGGAACGTTCTCAACAGTTCCAGAGGGTATTCATTGGAAAAAAATCTGCATCCTGGCATCAGGACGCATTGTCGCCAACGTGCTAATATTCAGTCATCATTTCGAGACTGTGGTTGTGGCAAAACTTTTCTCTGTGATGTTGGGGATTTTCTGCTACCTTTAAGATTAGGAGTCATTTTCCTCAGACCCTGAGACTCTCAGAAATAGAGAAAGAGAATAAAATTCATGATTTTTCCACAAAATTATGACCCCTAGACAATTATATTTCACCTCCCTTCACATTTAGACAGGAAAGACCCATGCTGAAAGACACATGTTTAGGAAGTTCCATCATCTCCATGCACTTCAGTGATCCCTGATGTAGAGGCCCATGAGGCTTTTCTGTCCCTCTATCATGTTTAACACTACAACTACTTAGAGTGACTAATGTGTGACACCTTTAATATCTTTCATTCCCAAAAAGAATTTCTTCCAAAATTTTATCATGTAGAATAATTGTCATATCTTCATGAAAATACACTGACATTTTTCACTCCAGCCATTTACAGCACAGTCTTCCCAAATGCCTACAATTTTGTATCAATCTACATAGGACCCAGAACAGTTGTAGCAGGATTGAAAAATGTCATATCAGGGAAGGTGACATAATAACGCCTGGGACATCTTCAAAACTGCTTCCATTTCTCCATATTGGAAATACCAGAGCAACAAAAAAGTGAATCCTATTCATGCCTCTCGCTCACTTCCTCGTTCCATTCGGCTTGGTGCTCATACTTCTAAAATAAACAAAGCAAGAGTTAAATGATTACATTTTATAGATGGTCAATTTTCAAATCACATGAAAAGGTTCACATCTAGCAAAACAAAACAAATAATGGAAATAAGGAAGCGAGAAGTTGATGGAATTAGCAAGTCAAGGATTACAACCTCTTATCACCCTAAACCTTTGGTTCCATAGTATGATAGGGACTCCAAAATTACTTGCAAAATCCTATTAAATATAACCAGATCCTTCATATTTTTGGTGCTGTTTTCAAGGAATTCTTGAGATTTAGGGACTTTTAGACATTTCTTTGCCAAAACGATGAGTCGTACCATGAGGACAGAAGTGGTCACCTTCAGGTCAGATTACCTTCACCCTTAGAGATCTGCAGGTGAAGGTTTGGTATGTTATCCAGACGCACTCAGCTACAAAAGATTGTATTTTAAAGACATTAAATCATACCTTGGCAATCTTGCTTCTATATGAATTTTGTCCCTGACTACTTTTTAAAGTTCAGGAGTAATCACATAACTAAGAGAACTAGCCCCATGTAGGTTGTCCAATTTAAGAAATGAGAAAGTAAATGTGATCGATGTGAAATCCATGTTTACATAAGACCGAAAAATTGACAGATGCTGTCGCAGAGGTGAAACTTGAGATGGGAAAGCCAGCCTTTAACGTAAAAAAATAATGCATCAAAATCTTGGTGTGAAGAAATGTTTGGCTTGTTCGATACGCCATTCCCTAGCAGAAAAAAATAATTTGACTTGTCAGATTCTGAGAAAAAACGTTGAAAAATATTAATGTAGGAACTTAAAAAAAAAGATATGGTAGTGACATCATCACCCATAGATTATTGCATGACTTGAAAGCACTGTTTCATTGGTTTACAGGCCTTTCTAAACCATTCCAAATTGGTATTCTCGGATCTTAATTTTTAACGAGGTCATTTGACTTGCAGGATGACGTCTTTTTTATGTATATTTCATGCTGTGTTATTAGCAAAAGGTTTTCAAAGAATTACTGAATCAAATTAAATCTCTGAAAAACTATGAAAATAACTGCATTTACAACAAGCAACATTTAACATCTTTTCGCATGAAATTTTGAAGTGCCCTGGAATCTTTTTTCTTATGTAATTTCATCAGCACTAAGAAAAGACATACTTTGAACCACATTGAAAAATGAGAAGAAATTACTCCATATCAGTGGTTCCCTAACTGTGGGTCATGACCCACTAGTGGGTCGCAAGAGGTATCAAGGTGGGTGGCGTACGTTTTCCCAGTATAAAAAATCACTGCATTTGCTGAGGATTGAACATGCCCTACAGGAAAGGGTGATATGTTTTCTTCACATCATAATTACATTCAAAACACCTCATTCTGGTTTACAATGGGTACCACTTTTTTTAGCGTCAGCAAGTGGTTCACAATTTAATGAAGTCTGGAAACAGCTGCTCTAGACAACCAAAAGATTGACTCTAAAAAAATATTTTCAGTATGGACATTATGTTTCACTTCCTGAGATCACAATATCAAAAATCCACAAACATCAATAATTCAACAATAATAACCCCTCATCTTCCATGCTGATATCAAGTGCCAGTCAAATATTTCTCACCAGATGCAACATAGTAGACCCTAAAGGTTACATTGTTAGCAAAAAATACATTAAATAAAGTCTAGGATTGAAATACTACACTAATAACATGTTCTTTTTATAAAATGCTGCTAATTCCTTTCACCCATTTCTTGGTGAAATATTACTTTTCACACCATTGTTTCCTTCTTGCTAACCATGAAGTTTTTTTTTTCAAACCATTGCTTGAGTGTAGCTCAGCATAGTGCATTCCCATTAGTTGAAACACGAATAATTGTTGTCTTGGGTGAAGGACTGGAAGCGACAATTCCATTTCTATTATTTGCTTTCCCCTAGGGGCAGAAAAATATAAATGTTATACACAGGGTGTCCTACACACCTTGCCCAGTTTTGTACATAATTATGTCCTAATTTTTTTCTGATGGATATGAGTTTTGTATCATTCAAAAACCTAGACCCTTCTTAATGACTGCTGATGAACGTGATGGTTTCTGATTTTTGGTTCTGAGGATTTTTTTAACAATAAGGTGTATGCTTCAAAACCCCTCATATCCCTCACCTCATCAGTGCCATTTCCACCTAACTGAATACCATAAACTTGGACATTAGCCAGAAATGACTTTCTCCAGTGATACCATGTTTGTCATGAACAAAATGGGAACCTGGTTAAAAGTGGTTAAAATATTGAATCCCTTTTTTTTCATCCCTGCATTCCAGAAACCCTGCCCCCAATTTGGATGGACACTAAGTGAATGGAACTCACAAGGTCAATG